TACTCTGAACGTGCATTTTATTCTTACTTCAACGATTCCGCTTTGGATTCTTCGCATTCTTTGTCCTTGTTCTTCTCCTTCGCTATATCCTTCATACCCTAAGCAAGGAAAACAAATGCCAACGTCAATCTCGCGTCTTCCCCGACACGAGGCGACTTAAAATATACCTTCAATATTTTCGCTTGATCTTGGTCAGCTTCCTCCTGATCTCGTCTCCTCCTAAGTCTCATTTTGCGAGCTATCGGATCTTTGCTACCTGATGGACAACGGCAATGAATGGTAAATGTGGGACGATAGAGTTATTCTTAATTACTTTAAATACTGATCGAAGAGATCGTGCTCACCAGCCGTCTGAGTCGGTGGTGGTACATTGGCGCCAGCGAGACGCAGCTGATGTTGTAAAGAAAAGTCGATGTTATAGAATTCGATGCCAGATCCCTTCTGCACCTCGGTAGGCTTTGGCGGCATTACCAAGTTGGGATTATCTCTCAGATCTAACTGTTCTAAATCGGTGAGAAGATGAATGGCGTCTGGCACGGTGATCAATCGATTGGATGCTAGAATTAATTTCTTCAACGAACCACATCTGAAAAAGAAAATTTTAGTATTATTTACAGAATGAAGGAGAAAGGAGGAAGTCACGAAATACCTGCACAAGCCTTCTGGTATCATCTCCAAGCGATTATTGGCTGCAGAAAATACTTGCAACGACGACAACTTGCCTATTCCCGAAGGAATACCTTCAAAATCTAGCAAATTATCGTTTAAGTATAATCTTCTGAGTGTGATAACTTTACATAGAGAGGCGGGGATTGCTGTCAATTTATTGCGGCATATATTTAAAGTTTCCAATCTGGTCCAAAGCTCTGAAACGAAGATCAATTCAATTTGTGCTTATGGGAACATACAAAAATTATGCACTGAACAAACCTACCAATCGCTGTCGATAGTTCAGTTATTTCGTTATCACTCAAATTTAAACGACGCAGGTTTACGAGGTTGTAGAGCGCGTCTGGTACCCGAGGTAAATTATTCTGGGATAAGTCGAGCTCTTGCAGATTTGTTAAAGTCTCTAAACTCGAAGGAATATTGTTCAATGTTCGTTGCGTGTCACGCATCTGCAGGGTTGTTAAATTCATCAACGATGGCAGCTGTCTAAATCAAAAGAAGATACAAATATATTTATATTAAAGCATTTGAATGAGTCAATAGAATATTACTATACCTTAATTGAAAGTGTCCCAATGGATTATGGTTCAAATTCAAGGTTTGTAAATTAGCTAACCGACGCGTTTGCGGTGGCAATGTTTCCAATTTATTATTACTAAGATCTAGAAATAGCAAATCTGTCAAGTGAATGAACAGGGTGTTGGGAATAGTCTCAATACTGAAAGAAAATAGTTAAGTTACATTCTGATCAGTATGTCTTACAATTTGGCATTAATAATAATGTAGTACCTACTGATTGTGACTCAAGTTAAGATTTAACAAAGAACGAGCTCGTTCGAGCCCTTCTGGCACTTCCTTCAAATTATTACGGCTCAAATCCAATGTGGTTAACTCTTCTAAATGAAACAGCTCTGCTGGAATGCCACTGGATTTAATATTATTACGCCTGATGTTTAAAGTTCTGAGGCAACAAAGTTCTGTTAGCTCTCCATATAAGCGTTCTAGTTTATTTTTAACCAGAGAAAGATGTTCCTATTTTGGAAGCAGAAAGATTCAGATTATATCGTAAGGTCTTTGATGTCATTTGCACTAAAAAAACTAATGTGTTAACAAAATTACCAGCTTCAACAGTTTCCCCATTTCTTCTGGTATTTCTGTCAAGTTGGTTTCATCTAATTTCAGCCATTGTATTCCAGTCATAAGGCGAACAGATTCTGGAAATTTACCATCCTGAAAAAAGTAACACGTTAAATGTTGGCAACATTAAATTAAACATGCTTTGAAACTCGGTACTCACCCCAAAATCATTACTACTGAAATCTACACCACGTACGAATGGTAACACTCCTGTATTTGCCATCTTGTGCGTGAGTTAAATGGATATTTATCTTCTTGTAAACTTTTATATAATTTGCATCCAACAGTTATGCATCCATCTGTAGCGTATCGATATTATTCGGAAACAGTACGCTGAACGAGTAGAAAATAAACGCATTGGTGTCTGTAAACATTTCGTACATATTTACTATGAAAATAATTCTTCGAAGTACACCACTCCATTTGATTCAATATAAACGATCGTAAATTATTAGTCAAAATAATTCTAGAATATTAATCGTATGCTAGGTAAAGTCGCATTGTTATTAAAAATAAAAAAACGATGGGACTGGATAGAACAGTACTCATTGTCAGGTGTGTCAACGATAATATACGATAATCGGTGATAGTATGACCAAATAATCACAGAGCATTTATGATACATATGTAGATACAAGCACTCTGTGGTATTTATATATCTCTTTTACTCACAGATATCGTTCCTTTGCGCGAACTTACGTATATACATAAATATATATACACGAAAAACAAAGAAACGTGCGAATATTTCTGTAGAAAAAAGTAATAGTTAGTTCATATTGAGTTGACCAAATGTATCAAATTCATGCTGAGTACACCGACTTGGACCGAGTGCAGTGATTCTTACATTTACAGCAAAAAGTCACCGAGGTCGTTAGTGTAGGAGCCAATCAAAACTGTAATTGACTAGTTAACGATTCTAGTTTACCATTGAACGTATCAGTGTCAATTTTCAATAAACGGAACTACGTCTAGGAATATTTCTACGAAATCCGCGTAACATAGTTTTCGAACGCGATCATAAGTGAGAAAATATACGAGTACGAATGCTTAGTGAGATTTGAGTTCCGTTGTAAGTCGGTTCAACCAACTCGGTGTAAGTAGGTGTAAGTTCGCTTCGCATTGGTGTGGATCGGTGTGTATCGGTATATATCTCGATGCACGAGCAGTTCGTGAGAAGGATAGATCGCTCTTGAGAGTTTTCATTCGAAAGCAAAGTATTTGGACACCGTTTGCAAATCCGTTCGCCTGTTCGTTCGTCAATTGTTTTCATATATGGCTTCATATTCATATATGTCTTCATTTGAAGAACTGGAACAATTGGATAGCGGCATGGGCAGTAGCGACGCACATTCTCCCGAAGTGAAATCTCTTCTTCCCGACGGCGAGGATGATGAAGAGGTACACATTTCGTTAGAATTTGAGTTAATTATGCTTTCCACCTAGTATCGTCGAATCAATAGTTCATTTTATTGATAATAATTAACCAAGCTTTCTTTGTAAAGATTATGTCTAGACTCATGATTTACCTTCACTTTGTATTTCTTTTTCCCTAATTCATGCATTTTCTTTTCACATTCATTCAATTGAACAATTTATCAGCAATGTCGATTTACTATTTTTCTTTGTATTTAGGATGAAAGTCTCGTGGAGAGGCTAGTAGGGCTCACAGAAATGTTTCCAGAGGAAGTACGTAATTTTGGATACAACGTTGGGACTTGTTTGCACGCTTGTATGGAAGGTAATCGATTAATAATCATCAACCATCGACTCTTATGGTATTATAAACGTATATATATATATATTGCAGGGCTCTATGGATTTTCCTGCTCAGCAGCATGGTTGTTCTTCAGCTCATCGGCTATTCTATTCGCCCCTATACTATTCGAAATGGAGAGAGCTCAAATGGAAGAGGTGCAACGTACACAACAGAAACAAGTTCTGTTGGGACCTAATACAGCTATGTCAAACATGAATGCCTCAAGTCTCCCAATGGCTCCACCTGTGCAACGATAATAGCGATATTAACATTGTATTCAGTTTGCCACAACTCGAACGTTTTGTTCGTCATTTATATTTATTAGTGTAACAATTCCACCATATTTTAACCTTTCACCTAAATGCACACATATATGGGACATTGTATCTTCTTCATTAGGGATCATGAATGAAATGTAAAATTTCAGCTGACTAAACGATTCATTCGTAATTAATCGTTCTGCTAGATTTTTGTTGTTCTTCACTCCTTTCAGGAAGGATACTACGTTTTACCAAAACGCATTTATTGATTTGTTCTCCCGGCATTTACACGAAAAGGGAATCTGAATATTCGTTACCGAGTAACTAAAATTATATCATTCGAGTATTTGTATAATTTATTGTTGCTAAATGTAATTGTTAAATCGGACCGTCGTGTACGGTCCTAGTATATTATCCGTTACTGTAATACGCAAAGTCAAAATAAACTTACAGCGAATACAATGTTTAATTGCTAGGTTTTTAAGTTTGTAGTCGGTCTTAATAAATTGATTTTATTTATATCTAACGAGGTGGATTCATGTTGTTTAGGGGGGAAAATGTTATAGTGTTCCCCGTTTTATCGCTGATAGGATTTGTACGAACTAAACTAATCTTATCTAACTTGAATAAAATTAGTGTCAGTGGCATTTGTATATTTTAATCAATTAATCTTCATTTTTTTATAAATGCATAATCAATACGATTCTTTGCTTTATAACACTACAATATATTAGTTAAAATGTCAAATTTATAACTTTTATGAATAGTTATTTAATGTAGGAATAATTATCGACCTTTTAATTAGTGGCGCCATCTAGTAGTAACAGTGGAAACTATTTTCACTACAAACTTGGGCGTTTTGCCACCGATGACGCCACTAGTACCAAGACTAGTAATATTATTTTATTGAATAAAATATTCTTAATACTGATAAATTCGACATAATTACTTATTATTATACTGCAATTTAAGTTAATTTTAAAGGAAATAAAGAATTAGTAAGTTAGTATAATGATTTTAAAAAGTTAGTTCGGCCTGTTCACCGCTAGTGTATCGGTACAATACCAATTGTGTCCATAAAAAATTTGAGTGCAACGATGTAAATTAAATATTTGATTGTAATAGTAAGTATCTTACAGGGAAAGGAGTCTCATAAAACACATTTGAATTTATCTAAAAAAAAAATTGGAACATGTTATTCGTCATTATTCTTTTCACATTAAATCAAGCAAACCCTGCTACAGAATAAAAGGAGATCAATCCTAAATTGTAAACAAGTTATGATACATTATCAAAGTGTGCTTGAGAACACACTGTGTAACAGCTATTAGGTCAATACTGTATATTTATTTCATTTATAAGAATAAATGCAACAGATCAAATGAAATCAAATCCAATTGCTGCCTTAATTTCTCTTCCTGTTGTATATTATCGAACCATCTTGAAACATGTACATATTGAGCTTTCTCTTGATGTGACAACTCTTGCTGCAACAGAAAATAGGCCAGGAAGATTAGATTGATCCGTGTTATCTACTAAGGATTCCTGTGGTCCGCTTATTACACCGTGGTCGTTTTTATTACCATTACTGAATGTAGAGCATAATACAGAGTGACATCAGCGATAGTTTTCCTTGTCCCAGTTAAATAAGTGTTGTCTTTCAGCACTGTATTCAACTCCTACGAGAATATACTTAATTAACATGATGCTTGTTGTTATAAGCTTTACATAACTTACTTTTTCTTCATACGCTTATATAAATAGAGTTACCTGGAAAATTCGTTTTGCATTGGCAGGAGTATCGGCATAACTGACACATACAACTGCATATTCAAGCCATTGACGCGATAAAGCTTCTACTTCTTTGTCACAACCAAGTAGGTCTGGACATTTTGAATTCTTGATCAAGGATTGAATTATGGTGCTGAAACCCTCGATTTTTTGACTCGATGATCGTTCCGTGGACACGATCACCTAAAAATAATTATAATGAATTAGATACATGTTGAGTAAATGAAATACATATCATCTCGTAATTTATTTTCAAAAAAATTCGTCAATTTACATTGTCGTGCATTTCCAGCTGCACCGGTGAGACGTCCAAGTAATTCGAAATCCTTTCTAGGCATTGAACATTGCACAAAACCATCGTTTCAGATTTTATACCACGCTCAAACTTTTTGTATTTTTGTATCGGTCGAAGCAATAATTTTTAGGTTATGTTCGGAAAGAGCGCGACATTTGACATAACGAATGCTACGACTCGAGTTAGACGTAATATACATTAAGTAATTGTCTTATCCGGTCTGGTCAAGGTAAACTTTTGTATGGCATTCAGGAGTAACGTAATTACAGCGATATAACGCAACACTGAGTGGTTTCAACATCAGTTAGGGGTTTATTACAAATATACAATTTATTACAACATCTGTATAAAATTTGTGAGCTGAAGATAATAGAATGGCGCGATATTTTTTCGTTAGATATCTTGGAAAATTTTTCGACGAAACTTTTAAATACTTTACGACGAGGTCGTTTTTTTCTCTCGAAAGATAGTTCGTATTTAAACCAGGATCGTAAAAATATATTTTGATAAATTACATTAAAATACACGATAAAATAACGTAAGTTATTTAACATAATTAGTTAAAGCTGATCAATGTTCTACCTTGTAATGATTATAGCTTATACTGATGGGCGTAAACAAATGACATCATTATCAGCTGCTTATTTTAACAAAGAGGACATTTATACTTTAGCTGGAGAATTAGGGATGGCAGAAGTTAACTTATTGATAAAAATAAGTCAGAGTACCCAGAATGGAGGTTATTACCTTGACTTGTTAGTTCAAAATATTGAAACAATATATTAACAAAGGATTTTGTCCAGATCAGAATAGGAAAGCAATTATTGCTACATATGTAACTGGTGGAGTTCCATCAAAATTTTCATATGAAGAATTGACCAGATTTGATCCTGAGCAGACCAAGTGTACAATCTTCAGGGCTTCCACAATAGGAAAAGGAGTTCAACATAATGACATTCAAAGTTCCTGATAGATTTAAGTCTGGGGATCCTTATGACAGCACTATTTATTATATAAGAAATTGTATTATATAGTATCTAGTTAAAGGGATATTCTATTCAATTTTTGTATTTTCTTACAATTTACTGTTAAAAATATATGTTTCTAAAAGATCCTTTTAAAATTCGTAAAAATGACGTACATAGAAGAGTTTTACTTAGTATTTGTTGAGTAGGCTACTGTAGAAGTGGCCATAGTGAGACTTCAAAGTTTGTTGGAACTAAATTTACATGTATACATTAATGATCAAAATAATGTAACTTAAGATATGTATCAGTTATTATACAAAACTTCAAACCGATATCTTAAACATTTTTCCTTTTATAAAATTTCAAAAACGTACTAGTTTTTCATAGTCAGATTAAAATACCCTGATAAAGGATATATACATACATACATCTGGCAATAAATTTAAATATCGCAGAAATGGCTAACTGAAAATTTTCATAGAACTCAATATTACAAACCGTAATTTTGTTTAAACTAGTTCGCGTGCAACTCTTTTCTTACGCATTCATATGCATAAAATACATATTCTAACGAAATCTTGTAAGTACATGTAAAATAATTTGTATACAATAAAAGTTAAAGTTTAAAATACAATTCGTCACATACAATAATCGTGAAACGTATTTCACTTGTCTGTCGTTAAGAAATAACTTTCATTTCATTTACGAAGTAAAATCTTGCTTAGCGTGCTTCTCATTAAGCAATGTAAACGACTTTGTATAATTCGGCACACAAATTGTTAAAATTGACAAGTTATATGCAATTAAATGCAGGTACTTTTTTACGAGACGGTCATTTAATATATAATTAATTAATAAAGTCTTTTTTCGTACGAGAAAAGACTGTGAACGTTTCCTTCTTGTTGAGCCGAATGCGTTCTTCTTTCGAACTTTAGTTCTCCACTGTACATCATAGATCTTAAGGCAGAGGTAGATCTGGCTCCAATGTCTTGGCATCCGTGTTTAATACCACATTGCAGGTAAGGTAAGAATTTTAATACAGTTCCTTTGTCGACTATTGAACCACTCACACCTTGAGCTACTTTCAGTTTGTCCATTTCATTATGAAAGTATCTATCCATCGCGGAACCTTGCGCGTCTTTCCTATTCATGGCTTCCAAAGAACCCATTCCTCTGTATTTCTTAAGACGCACGCCGTCACTGAAGAAATATTCACCTGGTGCTTCAGAGGTCCCAGCCAACAAAGATCCCATCATGACTGTGCTAGCACCCAAACTCAGACCCTTAATAATATGTCCAATGGACTGAATACCACCATCGGCTATAACAGGTACACCAAATCGTCTCGCGTATTCTGCAACTTTATACACAGCAGTCGCTTGCGGCCTTCCCACAGCCATGACTTCCTGAGTAATGCAAATAGATCCACTACCCATTCCAACGCGTAAGGCGTCCGCACCAGCTTCTATAAGGTTTTTAGCTTGCAAAGCTGTTACAACATTTCCTGCAATTACTTGCAACTCTGGATATTCTGCTTTAATATACTTGATCATATCAACTTGGTACCTAGAATTGCCCTGAGACGAATCCAGCACAATAACATCTACACCGGCTGTGGCAAGAAGTTGGAGTCTCTGCTTATCCGCATTACGTGTTCCAATAGCAGCACCAACTAATAGCTGCTTGTTATCATCTTTACTAGCGCTAGGATAGCTACGATTTTTCTTTAGATCCGTTCTCGCCATTAAAGACACTAACTCTCCCTTGTCATTAACAATGGGAAGTTTGCCCTTTTTAGATTTTTCAAGAATTACATTTGCCTCCTGTAGCGTCACACCAGCAGTTGCTGTGATTAGATTATCTAATTTTGTCATTATGGATTCTAACTTTGTATGCTGTTGATTCGGCGAGCCATCTAGGAAATCAATGTCTCTAGATGTGACGATACCTAACAATTTACCCCCAACTTTTCCAGTGTCCGTGATGGGGATACCACAGAAACCATGCTCTGCTTTAACATTTAAGACATCACTTAGTGTATGATTGGGTGACAGAACAACTGGGTCCCTAATAAATCCGTGTTTATACTTCTTCACCTAGAAATAGATAAGTAGATATTTTTAACGAATTGCAGACAAGGTTAAATTTTAAAGGATGGGAAAAAAGAGTGTGCAGTAGTAGATAGATGAAATTTAGAGAGTCTCTTTTGTAAGAAGAAAAAAAATGAATAAAGATAAATTGCTTAATATTAGAAAAAGATTAATTTAACGAGTATTTTTACTATTTTATTTGAACTAAGAGTAAACTTCTAAATTGTTTCATTTTTCTCGTTTTTCTAATTTAACTATATCTGCAGTTGATACCAGTTCTCCTTGAGTTATTTACTCCATTCAAGGTGGTGAATTTAGATCTTAATGATTAGCAACGTCTATAAAATGTTTGTCTATTAATTTCCAATTAAACAAAAAAAAGAGTAAAATAAAATAAAATTTAGTTTCTTTTTACGTTTGAAACTTTTAAAGTTTCTACTGCTGAACACGAGAAAATGCGTTCTAAACTCGTGCCGGGAAACTTGTGCAAACACATTGCCAACTTTTGTGAAACGTGGAGGGGGGATCCTTTGACTCGTGCTCCAGGCAGATGTTTTTGTTTATATGATATCGCACCGTTCCGAATAAATAAAACTCGCGCGCGAAGTATGTGCATGTCGAAATTCTGATGCATATTGAAACGAGGTTTCCAAGGAGCCGTTACGAACACGCGAGAATTGCGCGGTTGTTACCAGGAGAAACAGAGATAATTTGAATTGAAATTTTATATACCTTGTGTACTTCGTTTGCTTGGTACTCTGGCGTGCAGTTGTGATGGATAATACCGATTCCGCCGCAAAGGGCCATGGCAATAGCCATGTCAGATTCTGTGACTGTGTCCATGGGAGATGAGACGAGAGGTGCCTTGAGCAAGATTCTCTTCGTCAACGGGGACACCAGCTCGACCTCGTCGGCGGTAAAATCAATGTAACCCGGTAAAATGATGAAGTCGTTGTAGGTGAGACCGTCGCCGTTGGCGAATAATTGTGCTGCCGAAAGTCCGTCATCCGGTAGCGGTACATCTGCCGGTTTTGTATTACCGATCACATAGTCTGCCATCGTCTTACTCGTTGAGATTCAACGATTCTTCCGGGTTTTTTTTTGCGACACTGTTGCAATTGTAATTAATAACGCGATTTGTGGTGCAACGAGTCGTCGATCACGTTCTTTCAGGGCTCAATGTGGCGAATATAAACCTCCCGTGGAGACCTGATCGGAGATCACCAGGCGAAATGACCGAAATCAACGTGCGCACAGTGCCTTTGTAGTCTGCGGGTAAGTCGCGCTTCTTCGTTTCGTTCACTGGTGGCGGCACTGTCAATTACGATAAAATCGTCACCAGGGGGTCTTAATGTTGATGTAATTGTAATATATATATATATATATATAGAATCCACGTTTTTTAGTTGATAAAAGTTTGGTAGATAGCGTTAAGTAGCGATAGCTGTGACGCCAGACGCTTCTCACGCATGCGCGTTGAAGTGGGCGCGCTGGACTGTAATTATAGGAAACGATACGGTGGTCCCAGTTCATTATACTTGTTTGTTTGTTCGTTTGATAAGGGTGCGCAGTATATTTTATGTTAATTGTTGCACCTATTACTCCAGCTTGATTAATGATACTGAAATGCTGGTCTAATGACTACTGACTACTGAATTGTAATTTTTGAAAGATGACGAATCCTCGAATAAAGTTTTAATTGTAAACACCCATATAGTATACAAATATGCGAGAATGCAGAATCAATTACAAAAATACTTGTCTGTTACAAAACAAATATCAATCAATAAAGAACAAACCATAGTAAAACATTTTGAAGCTCGTACATGGTGTGCGCTCGTCGTTAATTTATGCGATATTGTTGCATTTCTTACATGCATGCTAGAAATCATTATATAAAATTTAATATCGGTTCATTTAGAGGGTTTGCGTGTATTATAATTTCGTCTGTAATCTTACTGGATAGAAAAAAATTTGTTTTACACCAGCGAAAATACCACCAAATGCTTCGTTAAATGATGATAACACATAATCCACAATAAATTCCAGATAACCTAAATTTTCGTAATCGTCGTATTCTTCGTGATAAAAATATTCGTACAACATTGGTAGGAATATTATTAAGATGTACATCATACCACCAAAAAAAACTGGAAATGAGAGAAAATAATTATTATATATAATGTATATATAAATGTAATTATTAATTGAGCATAATAAAGAACACAGTTTTAAACTATGTACTTACTGATAGATTTAAGTTCTAGAAATTGCTTGTCATTTTCTTTAGTTTGTTTAGATCTCAGTTTATTAAGTAAGGGTTCATCGTTAATAAAATTTGACATCATATTATTTGCACCAACACTGTGAGTATTAGCCACAGGGTCTGACAATGATTTCATGTTTCCATTACAATGTAACTGGGTTGTCTCCATAATATCTGATTGATGATTTGAATCTCTATACAATAGAGAAAATAAAATCAAATTTTAATATAATCATTTATTTCCTAAAGGAACTGAAACAAACGTTTTTTTCTAGTGTACCAATCATTTATATAACTTACAGTGCTTTATTGATCATGCTAGAAAGAGCTGTACAGTGTTGTAGTGTTTGAAGTTCTGGATTCAGTTTTAATTGATTTCGTAATTCTTTATCATATGTTTCATCTGCTTCTCCCTTCTTAGTTTTTGGTCCATCTATTGTTAGTTGATAGAGATGTTGCTCCACGCTCCCTGTATTTTTTATTTTGTGTCTTAATCTGTTATAATACTCCCAATAACTTTTATTCAATAATTCTTGGGTTTTAGGAGAAATGCCTTTTGGACTTTCAATTGTACCATTTGATCTAGGAGAAATTTCACATTTACATTTATTATTTTTTAAGCCTGTTTTTGATAGACTCTTGATCACTTCCTGACCTGAATCAATCCCATCAACATTTTGCAAATAACTTTGCTCGTTCAAATTTAAATTACTTTCGATTTGTGCATTTCCATTCTTCTCATGTATGGGTAACTTGACATTAGAATGAAGACCAATCTTTCTCATCCTGTGATTATTAAATTTGCGAATGTTCATTTGGCTACATTTATGTTTATTATATTGACAATTAGGCCACACTAAAGTATAGTCGGAATCTACCAATGCAGAGTGAGAATTCTTTTGAAAATAAGATTTTGCTTTTCTAGAAAATTTTGCTGATGCCTTTTTTTGTTTAAAAGTGATATGCGGTTCGGAACTCCGGCAGAGCTTTTTTGTACAATCATTTTTTATGCAAGACAAATTTTGTTCAGATTTATTTCTTGCTGCTACTTGATACATAGATGGTTTATGTTCTTTTGAACGAGGCACTGACTGAGGATGATTTTTTTCAGTTAATATGACATTCCTTTGATCACAGTCCATGTTAATCCTGTTAGTTTTTATTGTAGATTTACTGATACCATTAAACTCCTTCCTCTGGATACTTTTTTTTGGAATAAATTCTGAATCTGTCGTTTCTTCGCCACTAGTGATGCATACAGTTTTCTTTGTATTTTGAAAAATATTATTATGTATATTTCTTTTAACAATACTGGGAACATAGTACTCGGAATCGCTAGATTCTTGTTGTTTTCGCTGAGATCGCGTGTTTTCTAATTTTTCGGGTATATTTGGATTCACTGAAATATTGGTAATGCTACCATTTAGTTTTAAACAGTTTTCTCTACTTCTATCAGGTACTGTATTTTGTACTTTTAATTTGTTTTCCTTCTCAATGGCACAGACATTTTTCTCTTCGGTAGTTTTATTTCCAGCATCTGGAAATACATTTTCAGGATAATTACTACCATTACTGAGAGGTGTATTCATATTTTGCATTTGGTCTGGAATTATGTGTTTCAAGGATTCTGTGTTAGAGGAATGCAAAGATTGTTCTGCTTCTTTTTTTATTAAAGATACAGTTTCAGTTTGGTTTCTTTCTTCTAAATTACTCAAACACGGTTGCAGAATATTACTTGTTCCTATAGTAGGTATTTGCAACGGTATGTTTTGATAAGTTAGAACTGGAACTTGTAAATTGTAACATTGTTTTAGATATTCTTGAGGTAATGTGATCGTATCAACGTGTATCGCATTTAAGGGATGCGGTTGAAGTTTCTTGTCTAACACATAAAATAACTGTCCATTATTTTCCTAAATACATTGAAGTAACATTAGAATTTATTCTGTTAATTTTTATATTTTTATTAAAAATGTAATTATGAAACACGGGGATATATACTTGCATTGGTAATGGATTTACATCCACCTGTGTTTTTACATCATTCATTGTTGATCTTGAAGTGTTAGTCAAATTTTTAAATTCTGAACTATCTACACAACTCTTTTGTTCTAAAATTGTTTCTTTATTGATATTAACTATGTTATCTTCCTTGGAATTCTGAACGCAATTACTTTTATGAAACTGAAATCCACAAGATACTGTTATAATTAGTATTGTCGGTTAAGTAATGTGCTTACCGTTTCTGTCTTAATCTCTTCAGCTTTTTCTGTTCCGCGAGAGTTTGCCGTTTCCTGTATTTTCATTTGTTGCCTACATTAAAATAATACAATAATACAATACAAATAATAACGATATATACTATTTTCCATTAAAAGTGAAGTGTACACATTAATGTCCCTCTCAGGTACTGTCTCCACTAATTCTCCATTATGCAAAGGTTCTATAGAGTTAGTGAGGTCAGAATGGTTCGTTTTCTTCTCTAATGATTCAGTTGATGTAACGTGATTCCTTTTAGTATTGGTTACTCTGCTCAAAAATACATCAACAACTTTTTAAATTGGTCATGTTTATATTTACGTGGGGAAGAAAGAAGACTACTTTTTAAAACGAGGATCAACGAAACCAGGCTGTCGTTTTAAAGTGTGCATACTTGAGGTAACTCTTTGGCAATGAAAGGATGAATATGCACTATCTCTGGTTATTGTAGATTTAGGTGACCTGAAATTTAAAATACCTACGTTCAACTTACCGTTAACGTGACTCATGTAAAATTTAGGAAATGCAAAATTATGATTTACTGATTTAGTGGTGTTTGAACCACAGTGCGGCTCTTTCTAGGTGTCCCAGTAAAAGTGATTATACATGGAGGTTCAATGGTATCGTTAACATCATCAGCTAATTTTCTCTGTGGTATTTTCGGCCAGGAAGGATCAGCTGGTATCCTAAAATTGTTTAGAATTAGCGAAAATAAATCCTGATATAAATATTTTAACTTAAAAACTTACCGCAACGATCCTGCATTGTATCTTTGTGAAATTGGTATTAAGTTTTCACTATTTACTGAAACGATATGCATCATTTGCATCTTAAATTATTATCGAATAAAAACATTTTAAATTAATTTTACCTTTAATGTTCAACTGCAAGGCATTTGTTTTATCTTGATATGCCATGTTGAAGCAGTCATACATTTCAAAATTTTTTACTTTTCTGTTGAGACATTTGTAAACATTATTCCCGAACTAATTGTCTAAATTATTAATGTTAAAAGAAATACAAAAACTGTATAGGTTCAACGTGAATTTCATGTTTCACGGAGTGAATAATTTTATACTTCAAGTGGGACTATTCTTGTTTTCCTGAAGTCAGATGTTTTGTCTATGCATATCTAAGAAAATTTACATTTTTGGGAACAATTAAATTTTTTTATTTTTAATAAGTATTCAATAGCTTTCTGTACAAAAAGATCTCAGATGGTATGGTAATCAGTCATTTCGTTTTATTAATGACAATATGTATTTATATAATATGTATGTAATTTTAATCTTAATTTTAAAATATTGTATGTACAATAAATATACAACTGTAGTAGATGCAGGAACAATTAACTATGATCTACATCAGTATTTTATAGCTTGATTTATGTTACACTAAGTTGAAGTATATTTGCGCACCATAATAATTATATCACAATATCAAGCTAACAGTATTATATTTATGTATAGTGATTCTTTTTTTTTTCTTTTTTTTTGCAAAATATTATAATAAATTTTCTTACTTAACAAATGTAACTCTTTTATCGTGTATGTATGCATATATGTGCAAGTTTTAAATCTGTATAAACATTATAAACATGTAACACATGTTCAAGATTCCTTTTTAAACCTTCTTGTTTTTTTGTATAATAAAGAAAATTGTGCGCATTGCCAGTTAAAAAAAAAATATCAACATTTTATCAATAAATCATATAATCAATTTAATAAATTATACTTGTGTATGAATATGTGTAACCTCATGAATAAATATATCAATTACAGACATTATGGTGTATGTAAAAACTACTTAAACGAAGGAATGTTTCAGTATAATTATTTTGACTAGATTTGAGAAAGATGATGTAGTTATCACTCTTATATAAAAGTTGTATGCCATAAAATGTATCAATGTTCAAGTTTTTCTTCGCCATCATATTTGTTAGTATTACTGAATACTGAATTTTAAATTGGTCCAAGATCTAAATATATCTTTCTTTGTTTCTGTCTTATGTCATTAAAATTGCACAAACATCTCACTGACATTGTCTTAGAGTTTAGGGCATACTTCATTTTAGATAAATAAATACATAATACCAACAGATATTTTCATGGGACAATATAAATTAAATTATTTACTTTCTTAATCTTTTACTGTTCTTCCAGTTTTTTTTTTTTTTAAGTGAGTTTTAAACAATGACAAGATAAATAATCGTGTTAAAAATTTATCAAAATAATACTTTAAATAAGGGATACTAATAATTACAACGTAATTATTACCAATTTTAAATGTTACTCGCTACAAGATATAATGTAAGTAGGTAAGTACCCTTTAGTTTCTCAGCCTTTTTTTTTATAATGGAGGTATATGTGATTTTTCTACAAAGATCGAGAAATCAAAGAGTCTATTACTTTTACTGTTACTTTTACCAGGTCTCTCCAAATTATGTATGCAAATAATTCATCTCTATTCAATGTAGCTTAATATACAAGATACAACTGTTTAGCAATGCATATACTTGGATAAAAATATAACATTATGTACCAATAGAAACTTAATGTCTTCAACGAATGTATCACAATCTACATGTTTTATATCTCATAAAACATCGTAATTAACCTTCAATTCATATACTATAACTTTCTTTAAAAATATACAATGAATACAAAAGCTAGATACATTCCTTAATAGCCTTAATTCTGTATGTTTTTTAAGATTACAATAGTAGATTTGACTCTTCATAATTTTTATAAGAAAAATAATATAGTCACGAAGAGACTGTTATCGACATTACGATATATTTAAACAAAAGTCTGAGAATTAATTTTGTGTTCAAAGAATATGTATATCGAACAATGCGCAATTATTGTCTGGCAGTATTGTAATATTCTGCGTAAAGGTAGAATCTAATTTTTATGGCAAATCATTACGGTAACGTATGCATTGTAGAAAGAAGAGCTATCGACTATTATTTTATGTTTAACATTGCTTGGATAATCTTCGTGAAAATGCTTTTTAGTTAAATATGCACAGATCATTCAGTTTAAAATATATACAGAAAACCCTCTCGACGTAGGAGGTAACTATATCAAGACATATATACGGTACATTGATAACGTTTTATGCTTGTAGATGAAGCATTTGTTGTTAGGTGTGTGGGAAATATACATACATAAAACACATTTATTACATAGTTTCTCCGTTATTGTCGAGTTAAGCCTCGTGTTCACCGTTATTTATTCCTATAAGCGATTCTGTTTGCTCTGCTTCAAGATCTGGTATTCTAAAATAAAAGAACACCGCGTTTATTACAATAGCGTCAGTCGAAATAGGATCCACATACGATTATTTCTTTTTCACGCGTAAATACCTTGTCGATCTATTTTTTCGACAAATCCAAATGTAAATCCTCTTCATCAAATCCATGACTGGATCCCAATTATCGTAATAAGATAGAAGAGATACAGTCAGAAATGCTAAAAGCATTGGAATAGTTCCTAGATAGAATATGTAAGGGTACTCGACCTTTTTTAATAACACATCAGCTATCATCGACATTGGCATTGTTAAACTAACCCCAAGAGTTGCTATGAGGGACGATGTTAAAAAACAGCCCCTACAAATACAAAATAATAGTATGCGATAAGATGAATTAGTGCAAATATTTTTTTCATAAACGTACCATAGCCAAAGTACTTCGCTTAGAACAGTACCAATCAGACCATTAATGATTAGAAATGTCCACTGGTGAGTATCTGGCCATTCGAATACTTCCCAGTGGGCGTAATGAAGAATAAAAAACAATGGCCACAGAAGCGTCAGATTAAAAAGCCCGACAAACCCGAAAAACATTGGAATATCCATTTTATCTTCGTGATCTACTTTCCGTTTTAGGAATACAATGTAAGCTGCATAAAAAAATGCACTGACTAGCGCCAATATTATGCCTGTGGGTATCTTATTAGTTTCTATCGTTAAATCCGAAAGACCAACTAATACCTACGGATTAAAAAGAAACTCTTTACTTTATTTGGAAATTGAATTCTTAAATGTTATATCGCGGTTTTAACCATGCTTGCTTTTCTTGTAACGTAAGATAATACATACTAGCCCAAGAATGCTGACAGACACAGCAACTAGCTTGGACAGCGTAAATTTATCTCCTCCATTGCTAGGGAAAACAGCAGCGAGGAACAAAGTAAATAAACTCGAAGTTGATGACAGTACTGTTACAACTCCTGCTTCGGTCTTTGCTAATGATATCTGATAAGTATAATTAGCCATAAACCACTGCAACATAAAATATTTGTATTAATATAACGTATGCGTGGTTATTGTGAATCGCTAAATTGTTACGTACAAACAAACAAAACATAAGCGCAATCTTTGCAACTTTTTGAACACAAAATTTATTGGCTTGCCGCCTCGCGTGTTCCCCAGCTCTTAAGCTCGCTTGATAGCTGAGCCTCGCTAACAATGCTTCGGTAGCATCGCATTCTGACATGTGTCGGACTTCTGCTAACTTACTAAATCTCACAGAACGTATAGACGAATCGTCGCTTTCTGTGCCCGAAGAACGATCACACTGGTCTGGCGTTTTTATTGGAACGAATGTTGGATCGCTCTGAAGTGGTATATGTTTTATTAATGAGTTATTTTAAACAGAAAAATTCGTAGTGTATTTTTACCTACCAAACTAGTATTGGCTTCTGAATAAAAGTTATCATCTTCCACGTTAGGATCTATGAACTAAAAAGTAATAAATTAAGCGAAAAGGAGTATAGGAATAATGTCTTAATAGAATTTGTAGAGAAATAATACCATGTATGTTGCTGGTTTGTTACACTGATCCCGCCATGGAGGCCAGAAACATAAACCAAGCAAATAAAGCGTAAACATTGATGTTTTTACATATGTACTAAAAAATGGCTTTTCGAAAGCTGCTTCTCTATAAATATACTAAAATGTAAAAGGAATGTTATTAGATTGAGTTACATTCTAAAAGTTTTTAAGTAATATTTGAAGCAACTCTTACTTTAGTTAGCTCAGAACTGGAGACCCAAATTATATCGACTAGTAGTAAAACTAACAATCCGAGGACTAGCCTCTGAGATTTATTCATCATTGCTGCAAGTTTGTGAGGATCCTCCGCCATCCCCTGCTGTCTGCGCTGTCTTAATTCTACAGAGCAGCTCATAGTGTATCCAATACCTCTTCTCTTCTTAATTATGGCATCATGGTAAAATTGAATACTGAAAAATCATTGAACATGCTGAATATATGTTTATTTTGCTAAATAGTACGTGAATTCTCGAGTGTATGTGAAACTTAATAACTGTTAACTAAAAAACATTTCAAGACATGCATTAAAAAGAATGAGATATTTCAAACAAAATAAAATGTTTCCTTATAATTCAGGAACTGTTGATCCTTAAATCCAAGCTTGCATACTCTTTTTTCTGTAGTTTGACAAGTATTATACGCAAAGTTTATATTTACTTTTGCATATCTATAACGATAGAAAATCGAGTAATAAAGAATACCAAGTTAATAACATAGCAATTTAACATACATGGAGAAGTACACACAGATAGCATGCCCTGACAAATATAAATTCAAATATTTAGGTGTTTACTTTCAACATACTTCTAATACTAAAAGATCTTCACGATAAACAAGACAAAGGAGACACATGTTGCACAATAATTGTCACGTGAATTACTGGAGTGTGTGTCTGGAATGTAACAGAACAGAGACAGGAAGTAGAGGAAGAGGATTAAAACGAGGGACAAAAAAACAATGTTCAAGGTTTCACTACTTTAATGTTCTTTTTACAAGTTCACGATGATGATTGTGTTCGATGAGTAACGTGATATAAAATTCATAAAGTGTGTACGTCTATAAAAACTATTTATTGGTTTTATGACTGATAACACAGGTGGATAAGAGACAAATGTATGAAACTTTAGTCATGTGTAAGATAACCTATAAAAGTAGTCACGAGGGTGAATAAACAACGACTCAACGTGATATTCGTACGGATTATCAACGAATAATCGACTCACAATTAACGACAACCCTCAATTTTCCACTGGCGACAATAATACATGGACTCGCTGTTTCTCTACATCTTAGTATCACGAAACCATGAGCATCGCATGCTGCTCGATCGACTAAAGATCGAGTATAAGAACGTCGATGTTTTACGCGCCGATTTCCGGTATTATCCGCACGATATTTCGACAATTATTCCGCGATCTCCTCTCTGGTATTATTTAAATGTGATTAACACTTTAACATTTCCGTTGCATTATCGCGTAGGAACAACTATCCGTAACCATGTTGATGCGCCGATGACGTCCCGTAATTTTTGTTATCACTTCGATGGCGCTACGTGTCAGCGTACTTTTCATGCCAGATGGACATTCTTATCTGCAGTGATAACAGATTTGAATGGCGAATAAAAGATACAGGACTGTTCATTTGTCAATTTTAATTGCGGGATGGAATTAAATTTGGACGAAGCGAAACTAAAGTGCGCAACTTGAATAAATCCTATTCTAAGAAAGTAAATAAAGTATAACGAATCTTCGCGAGTTTTTGCTTAGCTACATTATTTCTTCTTAGGATTATTCAACCTTTTATTGAATAATGATGAGGGATTCTTTCGTATAAAGACTTATTTTTTAGAGCAACTAAATTGAAATTTTATACGAGCGATAAATCTCGCGATCCACATTATATTTTTGCTTAAAAAAATTCAAAGTTACAGTTAAAGGCAGAATAAATATATACTAAAAATTTGGAAGCTCTGTGTTTTTTCATTTCGTTATAAAAAATTCCGAAGAAACCTTAAAAAGAACGGTCGTCACACGGGAGTCTCCCTTAAGACTTATTTTTTAGAGCGACTAAATTGAAATTTTATATGATAATTTGATTGGTAGGATATCGATAATAATAATAGCCTTCTTTTTTAAACTTTTAAAATATCGAAGTTTCTCTTGTGGGTTCCCGCTATTTTCCATCAAATAAATAGCCGTCTATCGGTGAATTAACCGAACTAATTTTCGGAGTATGGTCAGCGCCTCTATCGGGAAAACGTTCAAGTTTGTCGTGGAATAGTTTCTATTTGTTTCGCTAGATAGCGCCATTTACGTGGTAATTTACCGACATTATGGTAATATATCGACAGGTGTCGGTAAAAAACAGTGAAATCAGCGCCATCTAACGGTGAAGAAAGGAACTACCCACGACAAACTTGAGCGTTTTCCCGATAGAGGCGCTGATCGGAGTCCGAAATTAGTTCGGCATGTTCACCGCTAGATGGCGCCACCATATTCCCGCGGGAAATTTGAATGACTTTTTATTTTATTCTTGTAAGATCTCTTTTTAAACGACGCTAGTCATTTTACAATAGAAATCATTACTATAAATGTTCAGTTGATGAATATGTGATCAAGTCACAACAAATTTTCGCGTGGTTTTGTTTAGCTATATTGTTTTTCTAGCTTAATCGTAAGCTCAAGCTACAAAAGCAACCCTTTTCTAAATAATATGCTCGATCTGAAATAAAAATCGTTTGGATAAATTGTAGAATGAGATAACTGCTAGATTTGCGTGTGATATTTTCCTGTGAAGGCATCTCATAACTTTAGACCATTTATATAAATATATATATAATATTTAGAGTGAATATTAATTAATTTATTGACTGGATTCACGCAATAGCAGATTAAGATAATTTCGTGTGAAGGAAGCTTAAACTAAGGGTTGTCATGACGAATAATAGCAACAACATACCCTCGAGCCTTCTGGGACAGCACTCGTACTATGAACAGTTGAAACGTGCCTGTGCAACGTTGTTTTTGTGTTCCAAGAATGGCTAACAATATGCTCAGCAATGGTCGTATCCAGCAACAAACCACCGTTTCGCAACAACCGAGCAACGATAAGGGAAAGAAAGGTGTTATTTTTCGGAATTTCACGAACGTTATACGAAACGCGTCACTCGTGCGCGCGATGACATTTTTATCAACGACGCTCGATTAAAACTGGATCGAAACTGCAGTTGATAAAAGATAAGAACCTAAAATTACAATAAATCATTCGATTAGGAAACTTTATATAATGATAATGAGGCGATGACGGTTAGTAGACGGTGTTAGTAAACATTGTCGATTAAAAATGACGCTAACAGGGCCGTGTCATCGATCGATGAGTGGTTCTACCGTATCTTTTTGACGGTTATTTCGGAATTTTTGATAGCGAAATGAAGAAACGCAGAGCGTCCGAATTTTTATTATACATTTATCCAGCCTTTAACTGTAACTTTGAATTTTTTTAAGTAAAAATATAACGTGTATCGCGAGAATTTATCGCTCGTACGGCACCTACAGTAAAAAAAAAAACGATAGGTGAACGGCGTCCATGATTCCGGCAGATTGGCTGATCTGAAATAAAAAAAAAACAAATTGCATGTTAATCTGTAGATGGATGGCTATCGCCGGAACTAGGATTTTCTAAAAACCTGGAAAATTCAATTTTTTACATACTTTTAAACATTAACACCCAAAGTTTCGTGATCTTTTTCCACTACTTTTTTTATGAAAAAAAAAAACCAAAAAAAAAAAACGGTTCAATATTTTTCAAAAATCCCAGTTCCGGCGATAGCCAGCCACCTACTGATTAACATGCAATTTGTTTTTTTTTTATTTCAGATTAGCCAGTCTGCCGGAATCATGGACGCCGTTCACCTATCGTTTCTTTTTTACTGTAGGTGCCGTACGAGCGATAAATTCTCGCGATCCGCGTTATATTTCTGCTGAAAAAAAATTCAAAGTTACAGTTACAGCCTGAATAAATGTATAATAAAAATTTGGAAGCTTTGTGTTTTTTTTATTTCGTTATAAAAAATTCCGAAAAAAACCTTAAAAAGAACGGTCGTCACACGGAACGACCTCCTTGAGACTAATTTTTTAGAGCGACTAAATTTGAAATTTTATACGAAAACACAATTTGTAGGGTATCCATAATAATAATGAAATAAACACGACGTACAGTTGTCAGTTTTTTTAACGTGTTCATGGTTTAACGATACCCTTGTCGCTTGTTATCGAATTAGCGCCAGAAATACCAGCGATAGAGCGCAACAATTGGCTTCTGCATCGTCACTATACGCGTCACGAGTACAAAACTTGTAAAATCCTCATCGATCAGGAATTATTAAGGTCGAGTGGTCACAATGAATACGCCAGTTACCTGAAGGTACATCGTTCGATTATATAAACAAATTGCTAAGCTCGATTCTTTACTTAGAAATGAAATACAAACGTGAAAGTCCTCCGCAGGGTTTGATACTCAGGAGGGAGGGTAAAATTCAGGACTCGTTGAACTGCTTCCAAACGGCGTACAACGTTAATTCTACGAATGTTAATAACATCAAGCAAATCGCCAAGTCGCTGTAAGCGAAGGAATGCTTTATTAAATATCTTTAAGAGGATGAATTTGTATTAGAAACGTTCGATTTAAGCGGTAACGATTTATCTTTTTCATTAGATTGATTATGGGAAGTCACAAGCGTGCCATCGAGGCGTATTTGGAAGCCGAGAAGGTGTCCACTATACCGGACTGGGAAATTTATTTGAACCTAGGTAAATCGTGTTACCTCCTCCCTAGTTGATAGTTTTTTTATGTCGCTCAAGTGTTCGAATTAAATCACCCATCTTCTATTTGAAATTATAGTTTACGAAGTATCGAAAAGAATGTACATTCGATGCCATCATTTCTTTATCATGTATTCTGGCCTGCTAAACTCGAAAATCGCAACGATAAATTTTTCTACGAATGGATTTCTTTTATATGAATTTTTGAATCTTTTTTTTTTCAATTTTTTCGTGAGGTACCTTTACATTTTAGGCCCTATATCTCGCGTTAGAAACGTCCGATTGAGTCGCGCAAGGTGCCATATTAAAGGTAATCGAATTTCCAATAATTGATTTTTACATTGTTTTCCAATCGGTTCGATAGTTTAAGTGTTACGGGCCAATATATATATATATATATGAGAAACTTCGATTTTTTTCAGCTATGGAACACAACAATTTCTTCCATCGCGATACAAAACTAGAAACTGTCAAATTATGTCGAGTTTCTTATTGTTTGCGTATAAATCGCACTTTTACGAAGAAAACAAGCTCTTTGGTTTAAGAAAATCTATGGATAAATACCAAAGTTAGGAATAATTGAGTAAAGGTAAAAAAGTTCCAATTTTACTGTTTCTGTGTCTTTCTCTTAATTAGTTAATTACACAACTTAACTAAGGCCAAAATTATTTCTAATTATCTATATAATATTGAAATTCAATAATAAAAATGAACGAAACGAATTTAGAAAAACGTTTTCTATATAAATAGGAAACAGAGTACAAAACTAAAATACAAAAACGGAGTAAAATTGGAATTTTTGTACCTTTACTCAATTATTCCTAACTTTGGTATTTATCCATAGATTTTCTTCAACAAAAAGCTTGTTTTCTTCGTTAAAGTGCGATCTATACGTAAACAATAAGAAACTGAACATAATTTGACAGTTTCTACTTTTGTATCGCGATGGAAGAAATTTTTGTGTTCTATTTTAGTCGAAAAAATCGAAGTTTCTCATATATATTGGCCCGTAACGTTTAAACTATTGAACCGATTGGAAAACAATGTAAAAATCAATTATTGGAAATTCGATTACCTTTAATATGGCATCTTGTGCGACTGAATCGAATGTTTCTAACTCGAGATATGGCCTAAAATGTGAAGGTATCTCAGAAAATAATCGAAAAAAAATTCAAAAGTTCATATAAAAGAAACCTGCCTATAAAACAATTTTTCGTTGCGATTTTCGAGTTTAGCAAGCCAAAATACATAAGAAAAAAAAATGATGGGATTGAATGTACATTTTGGCTGTAAACTAGTGATAATCTTGTCCTAGTTCGATTTCAACAAAAACAAGTTCCAGTTGCATCGTAACAAAATGTTGGGCTCGCATAAAATTTTCACGAGTGTAACAGTTGTTTTTAATTTTCTACCCCAACCAAATCCCACGAATTAATTTAATACACACAGTAGAGACACCCGTGTCCGTATTACAAAATTACAAAATAAGTTTTGAACCACCTACAAAAATTGATCCAAAATAGGAATTTATTTTACTCTGTAAATAATATAATATGAGCTTTACTCTCAATATTTTTTATATTCTTCCCATACTGTGTGCATTTTGCAGTATCTTGCACATTCAAATTCCCAATAAACGCATAAAAATCCGCAGTCTGCTTATGACTCTAGCTCAAATAGAAACATTTATTCTCCATTAAATAGAAAGATTTACTCTCCATTTTGTTACGTGTGCTCCTTTAAAATGTATGCCCGAAGAAAGATCAATAGTTGCGTAGTTTTTCTTCGCAAACAACCGGTCAGTTTAGAAAGACACTGCAAATATTATAACATGAACTACTCGCAGTCTAGTTATTAGTTACAAAACTGAACTGATTATTACACCTTCGGATACACAGAAAAGTGATTTGTTTTTAGGGGAGTGTTACGCAAAGCTGAACCAACTTTACGAGGCAAAGAGGCACCTGAAGAGGTCCATCGAGCTGACGAGAAACGAATTACCGTACGTCGCCTTAGCCAGGGTCTGCATCCAGGAGGATCACGTTACCGAGGCACGAAACGCTTACAACGCAGCTCTGAGGTGCGAAGCGTGTCGTCGTGTACTTTCTGTTTAATGTATTCCGCGATTAAGTCTCGTCCGACCTCGCCTCGTGCTTTGAGAATTTCAATCTCTCGCCGACTCAAATGTTCTTGTTCATGTCTTGTCGGTGTATCGTGTTCTGCAACTCGTTACAGGCCAACGACAGATCTTGAATTGAAAAAGTTGCACAGCGAAGCGAGGACTCGACGAGATTATCTTTTACGTCCAGGGTTGGATTAAACATTTTTACAGCTGCGTACGATACTGTAGAATGTTTTTTATTCACTCGTTCGATTCGCTGGAAAAACATCGATAAGCGAGAAGTTACTTTTAACACGTTCACTGCCAGATTCCCGTCAAATTTCTGCTAGAATTAAACATTATTTAGAGTGTTAAGGGCGGAGTCTGGTCCAGCTAATGTATTTTTCTAATGCGTATAGTTTCCAAATATAATTAATTTTTCTTATTGAAACATTTTTTACATATAAAGGGACGTTCGAAGAAGAAAATTTGACAGTCTAGATTTAATTTGAATGTATACATAAATATATATATATATGTAGATATAGTAGTCGTAAGGAAAGGATTCGGTCAAAACGATGGGATACGTGGAGCCCTGGGAAAACGTCTGATAAAATCAGAAATTTTTTTTCTTTAGTAGGTACGTAAAATGCGTATGAACCTCAATTTGCAAAAAAAAAAAAA